CTTTAACTAAAATTAAAATGAAAACAGAAAATATAAATATATATAATGAAGTGAAATTAAACAACTTTAATGACAATTGTTTTCTAACATTTTTATAAAATAAAATAAATAAATTGTATAAAATAATTACTTCTCTTATATATACATATATATGTAAAAATAATTGCAGTTAATTATTTTATTATTTGTATATTATTTATTTAATTTTATCATTTATTTTTTTAATAATTAATATATATATATATTGAGAGAGCGAGAGAGAGAGAGAGAGAGATAGACTTAGTTATCTTGATCCTAAAAATATGCAAAATATCATTTCTTTTTTTTCTCTCTCTGTTTTGTTTCTGGTGTGAAATAGGTTTCTTAGCAAGTTTCATGAGACACAAAGGTGTTAGAAGGCAGTAAATCAGGTGTAATTGGAGATGACGACATACTGGAGAAACACTGGACTGTCTTTAGTGCATAATGAAGCGTGTGAATGTACTGCATAAATCACATCTCTCGCCAAAATCACCCACAACATGATGCATAAAACAAACCGAAAGCCTTTCATTTCATCTCTAGACGACTAGAGAAGATCACAAACTCAACACTAAAACCTCACTTTTCTAGACGATAAAGACACAAAGACATTTGTAAATACAATCAGCTAACGTTAAACAATCAAAGCCTTTGGTTTTCCTCTCGCAGAAGGAATTTGGCTACATATCGTACGTTATTTCAAACGAAACGACGTCAGTTCATCGAAACGCCATGAAGGTCTACGAGCACGCGATCGAAGCTGGCCTGATGTGGATCTCAATGCCCAAAGGTCGTCTACAGACTATTGCTGGAGATATTGCTTGCTACATCGTCTGAGTCGGTCGGAAACTCTCCGATTGCGCAACCAATCCGAACTTTCCCGGTTGACCTGAAGAGAACGCAGTTTCCTGAAAGTATCGAGATGCAGAGCTGACCCGTGATTGGCCGAGCCATCGCTGGGAAACGCGCTGGGATTTCGCCGTGCCAGAATTGGGCGTCGCAACGTTTCTAATGCTACGACATCGCAACCGAAAGCAAGAGACCAAATGAAGTGCACCAGGCAAATAAAATTAAAGAAAACAAACAAAAACAAATCAAATGTATTTGATAAAAAGTCAATCAAAAAGTTGTCAAAGACGGATCTTCATTTAAACTCATGATATATGGCACCAGAATAGATAACTTAAAGCTCTGAGCTGGGTTTGAGAGGAAGTCGAAGCGACCGCTGCAGTGCATCATGGGTACAGAGAGCAGAGAAATGGCACAAACGTTCGGGACACCGAACCTTCATTTGGCCCTGAAAATCTTTGTGAAATCGCCGGTAAAATTTGGCCGAGGTCATTTGGTAAGCATTGGGTTCACAGTCAATTCTTAAAGATATAGTTCACCCAAAAATGACAATTCTGTCATCAGAAGATACTTTGGGGTTGACGGTAGCCATTGACTTCCATAGTATGCAAAAAAAAAATAATACTATGGAAGACAATGGCTACCATCAACTGTTTGGTTACCAACATTCTTCAAAAGATATTTTGATGATATTGCGAAGGATGTTGGTAACCAAATAGTTGACGGTAGCCATTGACTTCCATAGTAGGACAAAAAATATTAAGTAAATGGCTACCTTTAACTGTTTTGATCCCAACATTCTTGAAAATAAGCCATTTTGGTTACCAACATTCTTCAAAATATATTTTGAAGATATTTCGAAGGATGTTGGTAACCAAACAGTTGACGGTAGCCATTGACTTCCATAGTAGGACAAAAAATACTAAGTAAATGGCTACCGTCAATTGTTTGGTTCCCAGAATGCTTCAAAATAAGATATTTTGGTTACCAATATTCTTCAGAATAAGATATTTTGAAGAAGATATTTTGAAGGATGTTGTGAACCAAACAGTTGATGGTTACCATTGACTTGTATAGTATGGAGAAAAAAAAATACGATGGAAGTCAATGGCTACCGTCAACTCTTTGGTTCCCAACATTATTCAAAATAAGATATTTTGAATATGATTTTTTGAAGAATGGAAGTAAATGCCTACTGGCAACTTTTAGGTCTTCAAAATAACTTATTTTGTGTAAACAGAAGAAATAAAGTCATACAGGTTTTAATAACTCGAGGGTGAGTAAATGATGACAGAAATAACATTTTTGGGTGAACTTTCATCCCTTTATGGTTTCTTTTGAACGACGGCGTCAATTTCGTCCCTCATAACATCGTACGAGGGGTACGTAAAAAATTGTGCAAGTAAAAACGGGGAAATACAATCAAATTTTTGGAAGAAGCACCAAACGTTTAAGGTTCAATGTCCCGTGAAGTCAGAGACAGGAAGAATAAGCAGAATAATGCCCTGTTTCACTGATCGGCACGATACTACATCTGTTTACAGCTATTTACATCAAAGGTTTCTCTTGTTTATACAACACAGCTTAGTAGCACTTCTTTTTTTTGTGTATTTTTTCTTTTTACTTCTCCAAAAACATCTTTCCTAATCATAAAAGCCAACTTACATCAAAATATACTTACTACAAGTCAACACAACTAACAAAATATATAACAGAAGTCAAACACGTAGAAAATCTGAGGTATTTCTGGTCTGAGGTGGTCTGTGGTTCATGAACAATAACTTTTTTTGTCCTTTCACAACTAATTTTATTGATTCGAGTTGCGCTTGTCCGTCTCGGAAGCCTTGTGAATGTCCGGTGACGCGCGGTTGCATCTGAGGATGAACTTTACTGAGAAGATACAGAAACTATCACGATGTTTCATCCAAACAGCAGAAGCAGCACTGTGGAAACTCACTCTTGAATTATGGCATATGGAAACGTGGATCACTAGCCACTTTTAAGACAAAATAAATATCATTCTTGCATTTTTTGTCTTTGCTAATGAGTCAAACATCGCCTGGTCAAAGTGACGTTTGACGATCTCTAATTTTTAGCCCCAAACTCATGAGATTTGGGGGTAAAATGTTTTTATATATCATTTAATATTTGTTGTACTACCTGTACTGATTAAAAGAATAAAATCAGCATTATGTAGTCAACATTGATGAAGTTTGACGATCTCTAATTTTTAGCCCCAAACTGAAGTCTCAATATAGTCGGAGGTCAGATCTCAGATTTGGTCCCTGTTAGAAAGAGAGGTAATACATGAAGGGACCCGACCAAAACACACAAAACCAAACACTTCCCGGGTGAATCGCAGAAAACAGGGTCGTATTTCAGCTTCAAGTCAAAGAAAAAAATAAGAAATTGTATTTTGCTTCAGCTAATATTTAGATATTTTGCATTGTTTAATATTTTCACAACAATTAAGCACTTTTCCACCAAAATTATCTAAAAAAATCACTTATTTTAATTTATAGACTATTGCAGTATTTGTTGGACTATCTGAACTGATTTTCTTTTTAAATTAAATTCAGCATAAATTATTATATTACAGTAATTATTAGAATCAGCATTGAGAACAATGAGAATGAATATATATATATATATATATATATATATATATAATAGACAAAAACAGTAGGCATGAGATTTGGGGGTAAAATGTTTTTATATATCATTTAATATTTGTTGTACTACCTGTACTGATTAAAAGAATAAAATCAGCATTATGTAGTCAACATTGAGAACAATGAGAATTACCAAAAGATAATTAAAAAAAAATATATATATATAATAATAAAATAAAAACATCTGGATGCATTATGGTCATGAGAATTTTGGGTAAAATGTATAAATTACCAGTCTAAATTAATTAACTACAGTAATAAAATAAACACTGAAAATAATGAGAATTTCCAGAAATAATATATTTAATTACGGTCATAAGAATTTGAGGGAAAATGTGCTTAATAATAATGCCACAATTTAAAAAAAAATCTTAATGCCCCTTAAAAGTCTTTATTTTATTTACAACAAATATTATTTCTTATTTTTTTCCTTTGATTTCGAGGTGTTTTGACCCGGAATTTCACTCTGCTGAGTCCAAAACACATGTTGCATTATTACAAGAGAAACTAGACAGGAAAAACCAACACTTACGTTCATACGGGCCAAACCTTTTATGGTCTTTTTTTCTATTTTCAACAAACTCTTAGCATCAAACACACACACACTCACACACACTCACACTCACTCACACACTCTCACACACACACTCACAAACACACACACACACACTCTTCCACACACACTCACACACAACACACACTCTTACA